GAGGATCTAGAGGGGTCCAGAAACGATTCTGCAGACTGAGCATGGGTAAGTGAAACCATGGATATTGAATCCAAAATTTGCTGGTTTATATGAGGGCATATAAACCAACAAAGCTCATGCAATCCCTAAAAAACAAACAAATGAAAATTGGGGGGAAAAATCACTGTCTCTGTGGAACACCTAATTAAAGAAAGCTCCAGCCAATTCCATTCTAGTCTGGCAAAATAACAAAGCAAACTGCAAGTCAGTAGAATGGTTCCTTGTCACATGGGATCTCAGGAACTCATATTCCCTCAGCCAAACTTCTAGCATCAGAGCTTAGAAAATTGGCTTTTTGAACTGCAATTCTCCGTAGTCCCCAGTTGATGCTAGCCACAATAGCTTAGGGATGCTAGGAGTCGGAAAACATACTGTTTGGGTGACAAGTTCTGCTCCAACTGAATGGAAATTTCTTTGAATTGGATGAATCTGCTTCCTTCCTCCCCTATTCATCCTTTTTTGCATGCTTCTAGCTTAGACTGCTAATATAGGCAGCATTTCCCAATAGATATGTTACTGCCAACTTCAAAGGATCAAACTGTACAGCAGCCAAATCCTACTTCCAACAAAAGCAACTGCCATGATTAGGGCTTTCTTATCTCCTATAGAGGATATTACAGGCAGATAAATAATCTTATGGGATTATCATAGATAAAACAAAAAGTTATACACTTACATGGAAGCAGTAATGTACCACCTTGCAAACGGGCACCTTATGAACCAATTCAGCTATTCCTAAACACAAGTACTTTTAAAATAGGAATGTGTATAGTGCATGGAGTTGTTGTGCCTTCAGGATTCTCTCCAGTTATGCCTTCAAAGATAAGGGCCATGCAAAATGTGTGGAAAACCATCTTTAAATATTGGGTCCCAATCTGCAGGCCAGCTATGTTTTATTACAAGATGGGAAAAATTTAACTCTCTGGATTAGGGTTTTTCAATACTAAATCTCAAGAACCTTAGGTTTCTATAAGGTTTGCTAGAAGTTTATGATAAATCATGATCAGAAAAACGGTTTTTTTTAAGCTGTTGATATAATTGATTTTATATAGGGGTTTCCCAAGATCTGAAAAATATTTCAAGGATTTCTCCAGGATAAAAAGTTCAAGAAAGGCTGCTCTAGATGTTTTTGTTTAACAATTCAATCACTACCATGCGGTGCTTGGCCAATGCTAAGGAACTCTAAGCACTGTAGTCTGAAATCTGTTGTCTGGAGATAACGTACCTCTTGGCAGTACATGTGAAAAAGATCTTGGAGTCCACGTGAACAACAAGTTAAACGTGAGCCAACAATGTCATGCAGCGGCAAAAAAGAGGCAATGGGATTTTGGCCTGCATAAATAGTGTCTAGTTTCAGGGAAGTCATGCTACCCCACTATTCTGCCTTGGTCAGACCATACCTGGAATACTGTGTCCAATTCTGGGCACTACAATTGAAGGGAGATGTTGGCAAGCTAGTATGTGTCCAGAGGAGGGCGTCTAAAACAATCAAGGGTCTGGAGAACAAGCCCTATGAGGAGTGGCTTAAAGAGCCAGGCATGTTTAGTCTGCAGAAGAGAAGGCTGAGAGGAGACATGGTGAGGGTCATGTATAAATCAGTGTGGGGAAGTCATAGGGAGCAGGGAGCAAGCTTGTTTTCTGCTGCCCTGGAGACTAGGATGTGGAACATGGCCTCAAGCTACAGGAATTGGGATTCCATCTGAACACGAGGAAGAACTTCCTAACTGTGAGAGCTGTTCAATAGTGGAACTCTCTGCCCTAGTGTGGTGGAGGCTTCTTCTTTAGAGATTTTTTAACAGAGACTGGATGGCCGTCTGTCAGGGGTGCTTTGAATGTGATTTTCCTGCTTCTTGACAGGGGTTTGGACTGGATGGCCCACAAGGTCTCCAAATCTATGATTCTTCTATGAGATAACTTCACACATTCTTCTCTTGGACAAAATACTACCACACAGCTATTTTGCTCTTTGGATCCCTCTCTGATATATAATAGGTTTACATTTGCCCACTCTGAGGGCTGCAGTAACATAGAAACCAAAATGCTCATATAAAGAATTAAATGAATTAGCCCAGCTTTCTCCCCAGGAATGAAGTTGGCACGTTGTCCCCATTCTCAGCCATCAACAAATAGGAAAGGAGAATATTCTTCAATGAAATGAGAATTAAAATAAACACAAAACAAGCAGAAGTCTAAAACCACATGAGTTTTGGCAGAAATATTTCAATGTATTTTTGTCACCTTAAAAATATTTTTCTTAAAAAATATACAGAACTTCTGAATACAGACTGAGCTTACATGGCTGATTTAGATATAGACAACATTAGAGCATGTTCACAAGTTTAAATTTAAACCTATTTATCAATTCTGACATTTGGCGATAACCATACAGAAGGATACAGCTTGGTCGCTTGATATTAAAGCCATTTTTCCCATACTTGCTTCCCTCTTTCCAAGACATTGATATCCAAGGAAAAGCATCCTTTTGTTTATCTATGTTCAATATGCCCAACTAGCAGTTTAACCACACAGCTTATTTTTTAAAATCCCTTTAAGACTACATATTGTTGCTATTTACTTGAATGAAAACGAATTGGGGGGGTGAGGGTGGATCATGTATCTTTTGTCAAAGGTTTGTGGCCCTCCCTTCAGACGCCTCAGAGATATTGCTTCATTTGCAAAGTATCTGCTTTTTTGAAATGGTGAGTTCAGTGCTTTGACACAGCAGAGCAGAAGTCAGCAGATTGCCAAATTCACCACAGGAAAGAAAAACCGAAAATAGGTTGCTGAGCTTCTCCTAAGAAGCAAGACGTAGTCCTACTGGCTCCATGGGGTAACATTGCTGTTAGTACTCATGGCTAGAAAGGCTGCAATCCTATATATATATATATCTACTAGGAAAGAAGTCTCACTAAAGTCAAGAGGCTTGCTTCTAAGTAATCATGTATAAGATTGTGCTAGGAACCTCCAGTGGTGCAATGGGTTAAACCCTTGTGCCTGCAGGACTGCTGACCGAACGGTCAGTGGTTCGAATATGGGGAGCTGGGTGAGCTCCAGCTTCTCATGCGAGAACAGCAGAGAAGCCCCCCAGGTGTCCCCTGGGCAACGTCCTTGCAAATGGCCAATTCTTTCACATCAGAAGCGGCAGTTTCTCATATCACTCCTGATATGGTAAAAAAAATATATTGTGCTGTGTGTTTCCAGGCTCCCATCTACTACTGCAGAGTGTACTAAAGGCTACTTCAGAAGGTGAAATATTTTTCATTTCTCCTGCAAGTCTGCTGAATAAGGTAGCCGATGCACATCATAGCTACTGAGCCTAGAATATTCACAGCAGTCAAAAAAGCAGATAAGCAATCCATCACACTACCTACGATCCAAATAGGCAGCCATGTTTAGTCAGTTTCAGCCAAAACGTCAACAAAGTCTTGGGCCACCTTAAAGTCTAAGAAAAAAATGCAGTACGAGCGGATGAAAAATGAAAGAAATGAAAATGGAAAGAACTACAGGATTCTCTGCAAAGACCCTTTTCCTCACAGTGAAACTAAAAGGATTGAAGAAAATTGTAGTACATGGAAAAGCCTTCCTAAGTGTCCACTACCTTTTTGTGTTGGAAATGGTCAGGCTTTTCTCTTCAGGACTGAGATTTTATGAGTCTGACACAGAAAATAAAATAAGCCAGACCACCACTCCGCCTAGGCTTCAGCCATTCAAACTACATTCTGCTCTTCTTTATATTACATTCTTCAACAGGCATGTCATCAACTGGTAAACCACCATATCTTAAAGTAAAAAGGCAAGATAAAGAAAAATGAAAAGGCATGGTTTTCAGCATAGATCCCAGACAAGTAGTTAGGCTCATTCAGGTGTTGGGAAAACTATTACCTGGTGTGAGGGTGGTTGCAGTACATCTGAACTGCATGATATAGTCAGTGTAGAGCAGGAATGGGCAAACTTCAGCCCTCCTGGTGTTTTGGACCAGGGACTGCCAACTATGGAATAGGTGGTCCTCTGGTTGATGCAGCTGGCAGCGATTGGAGTGGAAGAGGGGTGGCAGTGGGGCCTCTAACGAGCCTCAGACAAATGTCAGCATTCTGGAAGAAGCATAGATCACCAACACTAACGCTTAAGCGGCTGAGGGGGAAAAAGAAGGAGCCTGAGGCTGTTAGAAATGGTGGGAGTTGAAGTCCAAAACACCAGGAGGGCTGAAGTTTGCCCATGCTTGGCGTATACCCATATAAAGCAGTTTGAACTGCACTGAGCAGCATTATATGATTCTAGGACGGACTACATAACACAGTTCAAACTGCATTATTTAGCAGTGCAGATCCTTACCTCTGACTCTCCCAAACCAGCACCCTCCACACATGCTGGATAAGACTCCCCAACATGTTTTGTGGGATGATGGCAGCTAGTTTCCCTCACATCTTGAAGACACCAGGTTAGAGAAGGCCACGCTAACTACATTCCCCCCTGATTTAGTGCTGGAACTACTTCTGGAAACGCACGTACAAATCACATTTGCAGTAATTGCGGCCAAGCAGGAAACATCCAATTTATTTCTGGCTGGAAGTTCCAGAGGTCATTCCAAGCATCTGAAAAATGAGGGAGGCTGAAGGATAATTTGGGGACTCCCAGACAATAGGATCCCAAGACAACTGCTTTTGTTATTCCCTGGTGGTTTTGATGAGGAAACGGACCTGGGCAAAAAACCCCAAAATCAGCTAAATGAAAAGGATTTATTCTGAAGGTTTAGGACTGAATAGGACAAAATGAAGAATTCAAACACAAAGCTGGAGCTAGAATTAGAATCCTGAAATGATAATCAAATCAGGGCACAATTCTTCTGGGAAAAAATAAGTGGAAAAAACCCCAGACTGGGTTGCTGTGAGTTTTCCAGGGAGTATGGCCATGTTCCAGAAGCATTCTCTCCTAATGTTTCACCTGAATTCATGGCAGGCATCCTCAGAGGTTGTGAGGTCTGTTGGAAACTAGGCAAGTGGGGTTTATATATCTCTGAAATGCCCAGGGTGAGAGAAAGAACTCTTGTCTGTCTGAGACAAGTGTGAATGTTGCAATTGGCCACCTTGATTAGCATTGAATAGCCTTGCAGCTTCAAAGCTTGGCTGCTTCCTGCTTGGGGAAAGTTCTTTCTCCCACCCTGGACATTTCAAACATTTATAAACCCACTTGCCTAGTTTCCAACAAACCTTACAACCTCTGAAGATGCCTACCATAGATGTGGATGAAATGTCAGGAGAAAATGCTACTGGAACATGGCCATACAGCCTGGGAAACTCACAGCAATCCAGTAATTCTAGCCAAGAAAGACTTTGACAACACATTAAACCCCAAACATTTAAACAGAGGGTGAATCTGTGAAATCAGTGCAGTTTGACACCACTTTGAATCCACTTAAAATCCCGTTGCTGCCTCCCGCAGAATTCTGGGGTTTGTAGTTTAGGGAGGAGACTTTAACAGCCTTACTAAACTACAAATCCCTGAATGCTGCAGGAAGCAGAAACCAGATTTAAAGTGAATTTGAAGTGTGATGAAGTGGTTTAACTAGCAAGGCTCAATACTATGCAATGGTGGGGGTGTAGTTTTATAAGGTCTTTAGCCTTCTTTGCCCAAGTGTGCTGGTGCTGCACCAAACTACAACTTCCAAGATTCCAGTTCACCGAGCCAGGATAGTTCAAGTGATGTCAAACTGCATTAATTCTGCATCCACGGCCACAAGGCTTGAAGACTGAGAACCAAATCTTTTGCCAAGGGCCTCAGATGCAGGTTTAGGATCTCATTCTGAAGGTTTAAGCCCAAAGGGGACAGTAGGGAGACATTAAGAAGCAGGAGAGTGTTGAAATGATGCAACTTGTCTCAGAAAAGATAAGGGGGAGAAAAGAAACCCAAAGGTTGAAAGCCTAATGAAACACAGTCATAAGGCCTGAGCGTTGTGGGGAACCACTTCTTTCTGGACATGTTTATAGCAGAAGAGAAATCCGTTCAAACAGATGTGCTAAAAACAAGTGATCAAGTATAGCAGGCATGGGCAAACTTTGGCCCTCTCTCTGGGTGTTTTGGACTTCAACGGCCACCATTCCTCACAACGTCAGGCCCCATCCTTTTCCCCCTCAGCCGCTTAAGCGGCTGAGGGGGAAAAGGAAAGGGCCTGAGATTGTGAGGAATGATGGAAGCTGAAGTCCAAAACACCAGGAGGGAGAGCCAAAGTATTGTCAAAGATTTTCATGGCCAGAGTCACTGGGTTGTTGTGTGTTTTCCGGGCTGTATGGCCATGTTCCAGAAGCATTCTCTCCTGAGGTCTGTTGGAAACTAGGCAAGTGGGATTTATATATCTTTGGAATGTCCAGAGTGGGAGAAAGAACTCTTGTCTCTTTGAGGCAAGTGTGAATGTCGCAATTGGCCACCTTGGTTAGCACTGAATAGCCTTGCAGCTTCAAAGCTTGGCTTTCACCACCCTGGACATTCCATTTGCCTAGTTTTCAACAAAACTCACAACCTCTGAGGATGCAGGTGAAACTTTGGGAGACAATGCTTCTGGAACATGGCCACACAGCCCGGAAAACACACAACAACCCAGTTACTCCGGCCATGAAAGCCTTTGACAATACTTTGGGCCTCCCTCTGGGTGTTTTTGACCTCAACTCCTACAATTCCTAACAGCCTCAGGCCCTTTCCTTTCTTTCCTTTCCACTTAAGGGGCTGAGGGGGAAAAGGAAGGGGCCTGAGGCTGTTAGGAATGGCGGGAGTGAATGCTTCTGGAATATGGCCATACAGTCCGGAAAACACACAACAACCTGGAGGGCCAAAGTTTGCCCATGCCTGGTTTAGGCCCAAACTGGACAGGAGGGAGACATTAAGAAACAGGAGAGAGTTGAAATGATGCAAGTTGCCTTAGAAAAGATAAGTGGGAGAAGAAGAAAAATCCCAAAGATTAAAAGTCTAAAGGGAACTACTTCTTTCTGGACATGTTTACAGCAGAAGAGAAATCCTTTCAAAGAGATGTGCTAAAGAAGTGATCAAGTATAGGGTCAAATAGAGACCTTAGCCTTCCTTTCTTGCCCCCTTCCCCTCCAAACCCACCCTATAGTATGGCCTTCCAAGCAAGCCAAGCTGCCCCTTCCCCATAGCCCTTGAGACTTCAATCTCTTCTCTAAAACCTGCGTGATAGTTACATATTATAGAATCTACAGCGCCTTTTCAAGGCCTGGGACTAAGAAGTGCGTCGGAGAAGAGAAAGGTAGGCTTCTGTTCAGCAGTGTAACTCTCTACCCCAAAGTGTGGTGGAGGCTCCTTCTATGGAGGCTTTTCAACAGAGGCTGGATGGCCATCTGTTGGCGGTGCTTTGAACGTGATTGCCCGGCTTCTTGGCAGGGGGCTGGACTGAATGGCCCATGAGGTCTCTTCCAATTCTATGATTCTCTTCCAGAAAGGTCAAACAAGAGACCTTAGCCTTCCACCCCCCCCCCCCCAACCCTATAGTATGGCCTTCCAAGCAAGCCACACTCCCCCCATAGCCCTTGAGACTTCCATTCCTTTTCTAAAATCCTCATGATGGGTACATCTTATAGAATCTACTGAGCCTTTTCGAGGCTGGGACTAAGAAGTGTGTGGGAGAAGAGAAAGATGGGCTTCTCCTCCAGAAAGGTCAAACAGAGACCGCAGCCTTCATCCCTCCCCTTCCCCACCCTATAGTATGGCCTTCCAAGCAAGTCATGCTCCCCCTCCCCACCCCATAGCCCTTGAGACTTCCATTCCTTCTCTCAAATCCGTGTGGTGGGTACATCTTATAGAATGTACTGGGCCTTTTCAAGGCCTGGGACTAAGAAGTGCGTGGATGGGCTTCTCCTCCAGGAGGGTCGGTGTCCCCAGAGGCCCACAGACATACCTGAGCCCAAAGAGTAGGTCCTGGGTTCATAAAAACTCAAAGCAAAGGTCCGGTCCCAAAAGAGAGGGATGAAAGGGAGAGGAGAGGGGGAGTTGAAAAGCAGCAGGCCAAGAAGGGAAGCCCTTGTCGTCCCTGGTGCGTTTGGGTCCGGGAGTGCGTGCGCAGCCCAAGGGTCCGAGGCCTGGAGGCGGCTTCCTTCGAGAGGAGTTGAAGAGCAGGAGGCTAAGAAGGGAAGCCCTCCTTGTCCCTGGTGCGCTTGGGTCCGGGAGTGGGCGCGCAGCCCGAGGGTCCGAGGCCTGGAGGCGGCTCCCTTCGAGAGGGTGGTGGGCTTCTGCGGGAGAGGCAAGAGGCGTCCCTAGGGCGTCAAGGTGCTGCCGGGGTCGGGGGCGAGTGGGGTGGCGGTGGCGATGCCTTCTCCTTCCGGGACGGCGGTGGGGGGCTGGGTGTGGGGGCTGCCCAGGTGCCCTCCTCCTGCTCCGGGCGGGCGGGCCTGTCCGTGGGGCGCCCCCCCTCCGCGCACGGGCTGCCAGATGAGGCTGTAGTAGACGGCCAGGACGATGGCGGCCAGCGAGACGGAGAGGACGTAGGCCAGGACGGTGGCGAGGCGCACCCACTTCTTGTTGGTCTTGGCCGCCATGCGCGCCTTCTTGTCCCCCGTGTAGGTGGCCGGCTTGCCCCGCTCCGAGGCCGCCTCCTTCTCCCTCTCCTTCTCCTTCTCCTTGTTCTTCATGGGGGCGCGGCCCTTGGCCCGATGCTCCGCCGCCCGCTCCGTCGTGAGGCGGCGGCCGATGGGGAGATGCCCCCCTTCCCTCCCCGGCGCCGATCACATCACATCACATCACGGGGGAGAAGGGCAGGCAGGCAGGCAGGCAGGCAGTCAGGGAGCGATGCTGAACCCGGAGGAGGAGGAGGAGGAGGAGAGGCAGCAGCTGGCGGAGGCTCAACCAAGCCCGAGGGAGCCCGGCGCCTCCTCCCTCCTTCCTTCCT